GGGGGGGGGGGGGGGGGGGGGGGGGGGGGGGGGGGGGGGGGGGGGCTGGGGACAGTCTTGGCACTGACTAATCAGGCAAGGGTATCCCATTCGAGAGGATTTCTGCTTTGCGGGAACTTGGCCTCCATAGCCTAGAGCGAAGAGATAACCTTTAAATGCAAGTTAGAGTCTTCGCCAAATTTTGAATGGCTTTAATTCAGTACAGGACGTGTAGCAGTTTTGCTCGGCTGGTCGCTTCCGTAAACTAAAGAACGTCAGGCAAAATACTCAAACTTAGCCAAATCTACTCCTCATGGCCGCGGTGTTTCTATTTGTTTAAATATTAGCCGGAATGCAAACAACTGCCGCAAGGTCCCGTAGCTCACTGGAAAGTTTCAAACACGTTTTATGACCATGGTAGAGGCTATTATAGCGCTAAACAGGTGGTGAAACAATAAGGGTTTAAAAAAAATAATAATGAGACAAAGAGGATATTCAATAGTATCCATACGCGATTCACTTGTAAATTATTCATTTCTGTCATAAAACCTTAAAAGCGTCTGATACGTTTTCCCACACGTTTTGAGTGAAAAGACTCCTTTGTCTCATAATAAGCGAACGAGTCTTGTAGGTAGTGTTCCGAGCATTTCCGCTCAACTGATAATGGACGAAATTTTAGATGTAATATCAAGAGATGATGGAGCACAACTTGAGAAAATGTTGTATGCGGTTAAATCAAAGAACACGAGTCATTTGGATTTGACGACAAAAGATTATGAAAAGTTGTATGTGTTTGCGTCCTTTTCAGGGGCACTAAATTGCTTGCTAGTCTTGTCAAAGTTCGGTGAGTAAAAGCAAGAAAATTATAAATTTTAAATTTAATAAGCTTTATGCTATTCGGCAGTTTTAAGTCAATTCAGACTCAGGTATAAGAGTTATACCTGAACTGTTTTGTTATATTACTCCGATACATTTTATTATTCGCTCAGGTTTGTTTTATTTTGTTTTATTTTATTCCTTCTAAAACTGTATTGGAATCTCTTTGATAGTTGAAGAGGATGTATTCTTTTTGGCAACAGGTTTTCCAAATTAAAACAAAATGTTACCACGATACTTAAGTTTTTATGTCTTATCTATTTTCAGTTATCTTGCATATCAGTACCACTTTGGACCATCTAAGCTGAGTTGTTTCTGACAAATTCTCTTTTATTGACATGAGAGAATATAACATTAGTTCCGGAAGTTCTTTTGTGCAAAAGATCACGGATAACTCCGACGACGCGACGGCGAGTAAACTATTTTAGGAAGCACGAAGGGAGCGCGCAAGAGAATCAGTCCCTCCAAACAAAGGGAATGGTGTAGAAAATACTCATTTAGGCCATCTTTACACTAGAGTCGGGAATTTTCATTTTGGTCCCAGATTCATTTCACTGACGAACACGAATATGCGGGTTGAATCCGAAAACGTCCCGGTTTGGTTGAATGTCCGAAGAATTGAACCCGGAATCTCAAACGAAGTTTTTGTATCCGAATCAAATGATATGTCAACTCCTGCAAATTAGGATGCCCTAGATGCATGAATCCGGAAATATTTATGTCTGGAAAAAATGTCTAGTGTAAGCCTAACCTTAACTTATTTCAAAATTGCTGCATGATTAATTAAAGCCGTAAAATAAGCCTTTGGCCTGTATTGTCAATTTTAATAGATTAATAAATATAATAATAACCGATTATTCACAAAGGAAAAGGAGATTAAGAGGTTAACCCTGTCTAGTTCATCTCCAAAATCTCAAAAATATATTCATTATGCTAAGCTTCCAACTCCAAAAAATACCCTGCAATTCAAACATTTGTGCGCATGAATTTTAAGGTCGGAAAGTACCTTTCGAGAACTTTGTTACCGAGAGAGTCTGCTCTCCTTTAGTCAGCGCTGAGTGATAGCGGTAGGTCTCTCTCTCTTTTTTTCATCCATATTGCACATGTCTAAATATATTTTATTAGTTAGTTTAGTCTTGATGAATGTAGAGCTACTCCATAGAAAAGACATCAATTAAACGTAATTATTATTATTACTATTATTATTATTTTTGTTCGAATATAATGTAGAAATACGAATAATGACATTGACTTTGTGTTACTGCAGGCATAGATATCAACCTCTCTGCTAGTCTTCAATGTGCGTTACATGACGTAGCTGTCACTCCCCTCAGAGTAGCTGTTGAATACGACAAAGTAGACGCAGTAAAATGGCTTTGTTACCAAGGAGCCAATGTCAATTACAGAGAGGCCGTGTGGAGTACCAAGGCTGATGACATCACTTCCGGTATGTTTGTTTCCAGTTCATGCCAAGTACCCTGTATGACACCTCTACATTTCGCACAATCACCGGAGTGTGTTGAAATTCTGCTTGAACATGGTGCCGACATGGCTGCCCAAGACTGCATGGGAAAGACACCTGTTTCCATGGCAACACTTGATGGCCGCCTCGATGTTTTGGAAGCCCTTTGCAGTCATACAGCTCCCATTAATTTAGCAAGCAGCTGGGGCGCCACGCCACTTATGTATGCTCAATACGCACGCAGGACACGAGAACGAGTTTCAGCAACTGAAATACTGTGTCGTGCGGGCGCTGATGTGAACTTACAAGACAGAAATGGACGCACAGCCCTGCACATGGCTAAAGATGTAGAGTGCGTCTGTTTGCTTCTGTCCTATCATGCTGATCCTGCTATTGAAACAGTATTTAGGAAGACACCGCTTATTACTGCTGCAGAGAACGACTGCTGGGACATCTGTCGATTGTTGTACGATGCACAGGCCACGCCCAGTCTAGGGGCTCTGGGCAGAGAAACCGCTCTGTTTTGTTCACTATCACGTGATCACCATACTTGGCTTCTACAGTGTTCCAGAAAAGTGCGTGATCTCGCGCATCTTTGTCGAAGCGTTATACGTCAGCAGCTTAAAAGACAATGCAAAAATGCTACACAAGGAAGCAAACTGTTGCCACTCCCTAGTGCACTGAAAAACTATATTTCATTTGTTGTAACAGGGGAGAGAGAAGACCTGTGAATATTTTTCTAAGGACTGTCATGTCGTGGAGTTGAAGTTTTTACTCTTCTTATAAATAGGGTACATGCAGAACAATGCTGAAGGGTGTCGCGCGCTTTTACGCACCACCAACCACAACACTAAAATCAGGCACACCCGGGTGAAGATCATACCTCCAGACGGCGCAAGAAACTGATCAATATGCGCGCGCTATAATTGACATAATAAACAGCGCGAATCCGTTAAGTTCGTTGAACGTTCAAGTTGCGAAGATTCTGTTGAATTCCGTGAACTTGAAATCCTCCCGCAGATATCACCATCAACTATCATGAGAATTCAAAAAATCAATGGGAACCGTTTATGGCTCTGCAGAAATAACCCTTGCAGTTAGCTGCGCGGCCAATTCCAAAACGCGTACGTTACTGTCCACTGAGATCCGCCAAAGCTCGGCCTAAATCGCAACGGATAACCCCGTTAGCTGTAAATCCGGGACAAGTGGCAACCACAATGTACTCTCTGCAAGGCAAAAATTAGACGAATCTGTGGAGCTAAGATCCTCGTGGCTACACGCGAGCTGACGAAACAATGTAAACACACTGTCTTCAAAATATGAATAAATCGCAAAACCAGAACGTTTTCTCGACTTCACAGCCATAAAATGCATCTGTTAGGCCTTATGGGCCTTTCATATACTTCAACAAGTGCATTACCCCTACTCTTTCACATACCTAAGCCTAAAAGAAGGACCCCTTTTGGGTTCCCGTATGGGCCATTATAGAGAGTACCCCCCGGGTCCGGGAGCCATTGCAAACACCGTTACGGAGGCTACCCGAGCACGAAAGCATAAAAAAACCTTCCAATGCTAAAGGAAAATTTCCATCGGGAGGACCCGAAAGGTCGTGAAGATTTTTCTATCCAAACTTAGTTTCAGACAACTCTATGCAATTGGTAAGCCACCTTTGTTTTCTCGAGCTCGGTACGTGGTCAGTTCGTTTATACTGAATTTCAAAGTTTTAAGTGAAATGCCAGGTTACTGGGAATTTTGCCAGACTTGGCTCATTTTTGCAGTGTACAATTGCAATTATGCCGTGCACAGATAATGTCTAGTGAGTAGGGATGAGTACTGATTTAGAAGTCTCCAGGCAGAAATGCTATTTACAGCGGTCTTGCCCAAACGACTATATAAGACACGTGCACCATGCATTCATTATCATCTTCGAGACAAGATACACAGGTCTCATCATGGCCTCATTAAACGTGCTCGTTCAAGTCCTTATTCCCTCCTCACCCTTTCGCCTTTCCCCTTGTTTCTCCATTGGCGTTCGCCGCTTCCTTTCTGCCTCCTGTTTTTATTTCCATCTTCCTCAATTTCTTGGGCTATGCTCGCGGTAAGTATCTCGTTTTGCAACCTAGATTTATTAGGCTTCCACGTGTTCGAAATTCGCTTTGGTCACATACAGCTATTTCGAGAAAGGTTGTCGGAAAAAATGTACACGCGACAATCTCGAAAGGTAATATGGGATATGTGCAATACACTGTTCCTGACACTGAAGCTGTCGAACCTACTTTTGTTGCTTTCCTTTAGCACGCACAGACATATGTCCGTGGCCTCTCGTGCCATTCTTTCAAATTTCTTTGTAAAACAGTGAACTCAAAACCACCCACAATACCTTTCGGGGTTGTCGCGTGCAGTTCATCTGACAACCTTTCTCAAAATAGCTGCATATCTTCAAGGTCAGTATTTTCAGCACTTTTTCCCTTTTGCTTGCAATATTTTCTTAGTTTACTCTTTGCTTTGGTTGTATTTACTTTCAATGCTTTCCTTGTTATTATTTTTGCAACCACTCCCGGGATTTCAGTCTTACAAGCCAGGGAGTCTAATTCCCTGTCGGATGACCGGCGCCAGCCGCGTCTTTTCCTATATTGTCCTCACAGTACTACTTTATCTTTCAGGTTGCAATTCCCTAGTTTCAGTATTTCCTTCTGATGGATCCCGTGAGTGGTACATTCGCTGGCTTCGGTTTTTCTCGAATCTTATTGATCAGCTCTAGCGGGACAGCAGTCAGTTGTTGTTCAGTTCTCGCAGTATGTCCGGTTTCTTATTTCCCCATGCGGGGTTTTCAGTTTTTTCGTTTCATATGCCTATTTTGTCCTACGCTGTTTAGTCTTCGTGCCTCCTAGTTTTATTCATGCAGAGTCAGTGCATGAATTTGCGTTACGTATGCTGCTATTCCCGTTGGGTTAATTTTTTGAGGTACGCGTTATTATAAGTTGCTGCATTTTAATGTATGAGGTATTGTTTGGCTTATGCTTTCGTTGTTGGTTTTATCAATACCCACAGGTTTTTGTTCCAAATAAATGTGTTTTGTGGCTCCAGAGTAGAAGTTGTTTTATGGCAATTTTTTGTCTGCTCACTCTGTCGAGAGTGTTTATAACCTGGGGCTTAATTTTGCTAAATTTTTATTACCCCCTGGTCTTGTTTACAATTTGTTTTGTGGCTTCAGAGCAGAAAATGTTTTACGGCCAATTGTTTGTTACCTGACTTCGTCGAGCCCGTATTGAAACCAGGGGCTTAAATTCGCTAACGTTTTCACGCCCTGGTCTTGTTTACTATGTGTTTTGTGGCTCCAGAGCAGAAGTTGTTTTACGGCAATTTTTGTTACCTGACTCCGTCGAAAATGTATTGGAAGCAGGGGCTTAATGTCGCTAAATTTTTCACGCCTTGGTCTTGTTTACTATGTGTTTTGTGGCTCCAGAGTAGAAGTTGTTTTACGGACAATTTTTGTCACCTGACTCTTCGAGCCTATATTGGAACCAGCGGTTTAATTTCTATAAAATTTATTACGCCCTGGTCTTGTTTACAATTTGTTTTGGGAATTGTGGTTCCAGAGCAGAAGTCGTTTCGCGGCAATGTTTGTTACCTGACTCTGTCGAGTGTTTCAGTTATAGGGTCTAATTTGTGCTAAATTTATTGCTCCCTGGTCTTGTTAATATGTTTTTGTGGCTCCAGAGCAGAAGTTGTTTCGCACAATTTTTGTTTCCTGACTCTGTCGAGCGTTTTTCTTTAGTGTGGGTATTAAGGCTGGGGGCTTTGAGTTTGGGTGTGTAGGGTATTGTCTTCCTGTTGGAAGTGCGATGTCTCAGAAAGTATCATTCCACGTTGGCCGCCAGATTTCTCCATCACTTAACATAGGAGCGTGGCAAGATTGGTGTAAATAGTATCCTATTAAATTACGGCTGATGGTATCGGGAACCACTTAATCATAGTTTATTAAAGTGGAATGGTTGGGAAACCCTTTGTTATATGTTTTTGTTAGCTTTTTTGGACCTGACGATGCACAGCGTTCAATAGTCATTCCCATCATTTTGAACCTACTGATCAATAGAAACATTGCATTAATTTATTCAGTCACAATTTGGGAACAAAAAACAAAGGGTTGTGCAAGGTCAGGGAGCTTCCAACATAACCTACACTCATGCACCGTTGTTTTCAGCTTTGATGTTTGCCGGCTTTCCTAACCAGTCCCCTCTACTGACTAACTATGGCTAAATTTAGCATCAATCACAGATGATAACCCCAAAGAAACTCAAAAGAAATTAGTAAAACAGAGCACAACTCTCACAACCAGCTCATCCTTCGCATATGTTATCAGACTTGAGATTCTTGACGCGATAATAAAGTTCAATGCTACTGCTTCTAATACTCCTACAGCCCTCACAACCACCACAACACTGATTGTACTCCCTACATCCCTCACACTCATAACTACCCCACCCTTAATTATAACCACCACAGCACTCACAACTCCAACAGCTGAGTTGTCAACGAACCTTGCTAGTGTAGATGCTACTTAAAAGGTGATGGATTCTTATTGCGTGAAACCTTTTTTTTTTTTAAAAATAAAGCTCACTCAAAAACTGCCTTTTTAATATTATATCTATATATTTGTATTTATATTTTTACCGTACTTGCTATTTTGAAGAAAGAGCCATTAACAGTTTTTAAAGTACCTGCGTTAGTATATAACAACAGATTAACAAGACCACTAACAACTCCAAAATGTTAAACAAGGGCTATTTATATGTTTGATTTGTCAAAGAACTCCTTTCTTAGAAAGACACGCCTAAAATGACAAAATTCTAGAGAGAAGAAGCCTGAAAGCCCATTTTCAGTAAGGCATACAGGGACCACTGTACTGGAAACAATTACTTCCGTCGGTAATAGTCACCAGTTTTAGCCATAGGAATGGGTTACTGACTTCTTGAAGAAAGTCATTAGGCTAGTAAAGTTAATATCTATTTAAATGTTCTCAAAACATTTAAATGACCTGATACAAGTTGACTGTTTAATACAGGCCTTTGACAAAGCGAAATATCTACTACACGACAAGTTAAACTCAAAGTTTTTCTAACTCTTCTTATGGAAAAAGGAAATGTCCCGGATTAATAGACCACTGAATGTCATGCACAGTGATCTAATCTATTGCACTTGCATGGTTCATCTTGCGAAAATGACCGTTTTTATAGAGGTGAAGGCAATCAAAAAATAGCTCGTTGAGACCACGGAATATGTCACCAATTTATATAGGCCAGGTTTACAGTAATAAAGGGAAATTATTGTGACTGCTTAAGAGAGGGCGACTATTAATGAAGGTCAACTTAATACAGGTTTGAATTTTAAATCGTAGCCGCATCACGTAACTCCGACAGACTTACGACCGGAGTCTGACTGATCCGGGTCATCCTGGTCAACTCTTCAAGGAAACGAAATTTCCCAAGCTCAAATAACCTGATAACCTAATGACTTCCAAAATCTGGAAAGTTTGGCACAGTCTTGGGTGAAAAATCACTAATTTACGAGGATCACTTGTAATCTATATAAAGGTAAATCTTACCAGGTATTTCCGTCAAAATGGCGCCCCCAGAAATACCAAGAAATATTGGACAGGCTAATGTCATGACCATGCAAAATGTTATTAAAAACTTAAAAAGTCTATAAATAACCGGTGCAATAAAGGTAA